TCAATGTCAATTAGCTGGCATAAAGTTATTTGTATAGAGTACTTTCAAATAACTAAAATATATGACTTTAATAGAAAATGCTAACACTTCTAGATCATTAACTGTGTACCAGTCTCTGTACTCTAAATACTTAAATATACCATACCTGAGATGGATATGGTATCAACATTTTACGGAGGAATCAATTGAGGGTTAGAGCCAAGTTCCTTCAGGTAGTAAAGTGGCAGAGATGGGAACTGAATTTAATTATTATGCTGTGGGGGCTTATCCCTGGTGCTGAACTGCATACTCAAAAGAATGTAGAAATCTTTCATAGGTGTTTGAGGATCCGACTAAATCAAATTACTGAGTTGACAAAATAATAATTCCATAAAAACAGATTATATACCCCTTTGTTGCAATTACAAGAGAAATTGTGGGTTTGATGTTAAATTAATAAAAATGACCATTTTAAAGCATCTTAGGAAAACCCAGCAATTATATTTTGTACAAGAGTCAACATTTATTGCAAACCTTATTTGTAGACCATGTTGCATAAGCATCACTGCCAGATGGCTATTGTCTGACTCTGATAGTGGCTTCCAATAGAGCTCAGCAGTTAGTTTGTTCCCCAAAGTCTCACTTACATTGTGGCAAGATAGCTTAAGTCTAGTTGTTGAACCCAATGGTATGAAGTACAGTTTATCAATATATATATAGCATCTTGCAGAAAAAGACAGGATTAAAATTCAAGGCCATGATAGGTGATCAGTTTAGAGAGCTGCATATTCATTAGGAATATCAAAAGTATATATATATTTTTAAGATGGAGTTTCGCTCTTGTTACCCAGCCTGGAGTGCAATGGCGCGATCTCAGCTCACTGCAACCTTCGCCTCCTGGGTTCAGGCAATTCTCCTGCCTCAGCCTCCTAAGTAGCTGGGATTACAGGCATGCACCACCATGCCCAGCTAATTTTTTGTATTTTTAGTAGAGACGGGGTTTCACCTTGTTGACCAGGATGGTCTCGATCTCTTGACCTCGTGATCCACCCGCCTCGGCCTCCCAAAGTGCTGGGATTACAGGCTTGAGCCACCGTGCCTGGCCCAAAAGTATTTTTAAAAGAATTCAAGGGTATCCATATTCTAGTTAGAGACTAGTTTTAAGATGAAGATTTAGAAATAGTAAGATATCTGCATATGTTTGAAGTTAAGAAATAAGGAAGGTATTTTAAAAATAAAATTCAGTAGGCAAAGAACTATGAGTCTAAAGAATGTTTATATAAAAGTTAAGGGAGCTTCCTCTTATATTGACATAGTAAATGCTGAATGCATAGTTGCTGAACTGAACATCCACAGGAAATAGCCAGTCTCTCACAAGGCAGCAGATTTAGGTCTGTGCTTTTTTATCAGCATACCTTTCCTTGACTTTCATCAACAAAATGAAACAAAGTTAAAAACTAAATGTGAGCTACTTTCTTTTTAGAGGCAGTTGGCACTTTAAAACATATACATAAAAAATATTTATATTGTTTGTTGAACAAACAGATCTACCATAATATGTCAAATAATACACATAGGGGATAGGAGTGGGAATATAAATAATGAATTTTTTGCTTTTCTTACTCCTGTGAAAAACACTGACCATAAACTTTTCCTGACACATGAGGTTTATGGTGAAACATTCTAGCTCACATATTCTCTGGCTAACTCATGATGATGCATTGGCTCTTGGCATCTTCTTGCTGAGAAGCAAACATTAGCATTTTACTCTGTCTTAATGGAATAAATAAGTCAAAATCCCTCATATCTCCTGGATGCAATGTGCAGTTGGATTGGTCTGTAGACCACTAACGAGGTTTCTGGGGTATCTAAGAGGCTGCATTCCCTATGAGAAATCAACATTTGGTAGTTTGTTTTAATGGTGGAACAGTAGTACTTGAATGGCATTTTCCATCTACTGAAGGAATAAAGTACAGTCTTTTCTCTCACAACATTGCCTTGAATTTTGAAAAGGGATCAAACTTTCATGGGAAGTGGTTTGCATAAAACATTTACTATTGTCTGTTAGTATCCATGGGGAATTGGTTCCAGAAATTTCTGTAGATACCAAAATCTGCAGATGCTTAAGTCCCTGATATAAAGTGTCATGGTATTTGCATATAACTTGAGCATATACTCCCATGTATTTAAAATCATCTCTAGATTACTCTTAACACCAGCTGAGCACGGTGGCTCACGCCTATAATCCCAGCACTTTGGGAGGCTGAAGTGGGAGGATTGCTTGAGCTCAGGTGTTCAAGACCAGCCTGGACAAGAGCGAGACTACATCTCTTTTTTAAAAAAAGATTACTTGTAACACTTAATATAATGTAAAATGCTATGTGAATAGTTGTTAAACCATATTGTTTACAAAATAATGGCAAGAAAACAGTACAGATGTATTTTTTACAAATATTATTTTTGGTCTGTGGATGCAAAACCCACAGATACAGAGGGCCGACTACGTCTATGTTGTATCATTTCAGTGATGTACATGTGTCAAATTCCAGAGGAAGATTTTTGTTTTCAAAAGACAGAAAATAATTGAATTGATGGGAATGGGTGCCAACAAGAATTTTTAGTGCATTTTTCCCAGTTTTGGTTTTCAGGTAATGAACTACACCAATATTCAAGTACATGGTTTTAGAAGGATGTTATATAAACATTATGATAATCTCATATTGTTACTTCTATCTAAATGTTATAAACTGCACTAAAACTTTGATTTTCATAAATTTAGACATTGCTGCCTGAGGTAGGAAACCCATACTCTCAACAACTCAGAATGATAATGGGTATTATCCAACAAAAGAGGCCATATTCAATGAAGGTAAGAAAGCGATTTTATTTTTTCCCTTTCTTCATGCATACCTTATGTTTTTATGATGTGGTCTTCCATTTAAAAAACATCATCACAAATCTTAAAAAAAAAAATTAACCTTACATATAAGTAAGTATATATACCTACTTATCAGTCACAAACATAAACAGCTATTACCATGGGTCAACTATGGGGTATGTTAGTCAGTATTAACTTTATGATTTAATAGCAATTGGTATCATTAAAAGACTTTGAAATGACTTTTCTTTTGGTGCCTAAAATTAATTAATTATAGAAGTATCATTTAGAACATTTGTAAGATTTATTACAATGTTTAATTTATGATCTCTGAAAAGTTTTGTTATTCTTGTCCTTCTAAGCCCTTCTAGCCTTTTCCAAGTTTGAGAAAAAGAATTTAATATGTCTAGAACCCAAGAAAATTAAAACTTGTTGCCAACTTCCAGATATTTACTTGTCTTCCTTCCCAAGCTCAATATTAGAGTCTCCTGGGATCTGGAATGTATAGATGATGATGTGCTGTGTAACACTGCTTACTGAAGAGCTATAAGACACTCACCTGGAGGCATGTGTCTACAAGTGCCAGGGTATTTATGGGGCCAGATGTCTCCTGAAATGCAAATGTGATGTCAATCTAAACCAACATTCGTAACTTTGAAAGTAACTCATGCCTGCAAACATCAACTTTAGGTAGCATTTAGGTAAACTGAACTAATGACATCTGGATAAATATAGAACTTTTCTAGAACACCTGTGTGGGTTCAGTTTAAGGGCAGGACCTAGAGATGACAGACAAGGCTCAACTAAACACATTCTCTTAAGATTTGGTTACACGTTTTTCTAGGGCATTCTGTCTGAACACCCTAGAAACATGTAACCAAATCTTGAGTCTCTTGAAATGCAATAATGATTCACCTTCATCCCAGCTCCAGCTGCAGCAACTACATCCCTCCAACTGGCCATTCGCAGCGAAGAGGCACAACTAAGCGTAGAGATCATCTCTATCCTCAGTAGTTCTTCCTTCAGGGAAAAAAAAAAAACTTTTCTCTGCTTTCTCCAACCTCTTATCAAAGTTATGTCAGCTTTGGTTATAAAAGCATCTGGGGGTAAGCATCAAAATATATTGAATAAATATTAAGCAACTGTGGAATAAAATATTAAGAAACTGTGTAATAAAACAATTTTAGCTTGAATACTTAAATAATCAGATTTTCTTATGTACCACCTGCAAATTTGTCCATCTGTTTATAGAGTGCTGTCTCTATAAAAAATTTGAAATATCTAAAATCTACAGATGTCAGAGCTGAAAGGAATCTGGGAGATGCCTGGCTCCTTACACCTGCACATCACAGGCATGAAAGTGAGGCTCAAATGAGCTCACTAGCATGATCAGGGTCTCACAGCTGGATCATAGAAGATACAGGGCTTGTACTAGCTGCTTAGTCCCAGTGCACTTAGCATTACACCTTTTCTCTGACACTTGAAAATTGACCAAACAAAGGAAATGAAAACATACTTTTAAAGGATTAAGATTAAGGAGGAGAAAAGAGCTGGTATGGAAGGATCAAGAATAACAAAATCAAATCTATAAGGAACTGCTACCTTCTAGGTTATGCTAATTATTTATTTTTACTTATTTATTTATTTTTGAGACAGAGTTTCATTCTTGTTACCCAGGCTGGAGTGCAATGGTGCGATCTCAGCTCACCGCAACCTCTGCCTCCTGGGTTCAGGCAATTCTCCTGCCTCAGCCTCCTAAGTAGCTGGGATTACAGGCACGTGCCACCATGTCCAGCTAATTTTTTGTATTTTTAGTAGAGACAGGGTTTCACCATGTTGACCAGGATGGTCTCGATCTCTTGAGCTTGTGATCCACCCACCTCGGCCTCCCAAAGTGCTGGGATTACAGGCTTGAGCCACCGTGCCCAGCTGCTAATCACTTTTTAAAAAAATCAGTCCTCTTAGACCTTATTGTGGGATTATTCTCATATATGTGGGGGAAGGAAAAAAAAAAAAGATTTCTACCACAGTATGTCTCCAGATGACTGAAACCAAGTGCTTTCCTGATAAATGCTAGTCCTGCCCTGCATGGTTCTCTGTGCTCCAAATGTTTTTCATTCTCTCTCATTCCACTTGTATTTTCTAGATTACTCCTTCCCCACTGGCCCTTTTCCACAGTTTACAAACTGTTAAAAAATCTACCTTCATTGAAGCTGCCGCTTCTCCGAGATTCCACTTCCCTTTCCTTTCATTCATTCTACAAATATTTATTGAACACCAACGATATACCAAACATTCACCAACCAAGCTCCTTCAAAAACTCTGTATTAATGGCTCTTGCCTTCTTTTCATCAGTTCAGTTCTCTGTAAACTGCCAAATTGCTAAAGACAATTGATTCTCAATCCTTTTATAGCATTTCCAAGGTCGACTACTTCCTTAAATTCTCTCTTGTCAGCTTTCAAAACATCTCCTGCTCCTGATTCTTCTTTCTCAGTGACCCTTTTCCATTGGCTTCTCTTCATTCATCTGCCTCTTAAGAGTTGGTATTCCCCTAAGGTTGTACCATGGCTCTCTTCTTTTCTCACTCAACATGTTCTATGCACATTCATTCTTTAATGTGCATAGAACATGTTGAGTGAGAAAAGAAGAGACACATTCTCTGGTAATGTGACCCAGAGAATGTCACATTCAGAGTTAGCCAGTCCTTCCTTGTAGAGGGCACACAAGAAGCAAGGAGGTAACAAGCAGTGATTATTTTAATGTTCTCCTCCTACTTACACAGTCATCCCCCTCCCTATAGAAATATAAAGTGGGGAAACAAACACAGATCTACCAATCCACACCAGTATGTTTTCCTTTTATTGGTGTGACTGTGCCCCTTGAGGAGACAACTATCACTATGTCAAGACAGGCCAACACCACTTCCACGAGTCCACTCCCCTGAGACCTTCCACTATACTTTTTGTGTCACCCTGGCACCTGCAGATAATCAAATGGTAGGGTAGGATATTCATCACTGTAGCTTCAAGTTAAGTTTCTCCCAAGGCTGAAATTCATTCCCTGTTCTACTTACCACCTCCACTCATAGCCAAATACTTTGTCAGAGGAGGTTGTACAGTGAGCACCACACAAAAACAAAAAAAAAAAAACACCAAGTGAATGGCAGCAATAGAAAATACCTAAGATGAGCAACCTGAACTTCTTCCCAATTATTTCCATAAAGAACGTAAGTTCTAAAGAAATTAGAACTTCAAATCTTTCCTCCTTCAATGTCTCATTCTGCCCAGTCTCAACCTGAGTTGTGTCATGGTCTAGACACAACCCACACAGCTCCTACCAATTGGTAGGTAGTAAAGTCGTAGTGGCATGTGGATGGATAAAACATACAATGAAAAGAATCTTGACCTCAGGTTTATCAGGAGGCAAATCTTAAACTTCTTTGGAGAAATCTCCATTAAGCGTTCATTGTGCTTCCAGAGGAGTGGAATCTGCCTATGCACACAGCTATTCCAGTACTAACTCCCAGTACCTAGAGCTGACACCCAAAAGCCAAGGCATCACACATGTCTGTGTCCACAGGGAATAAGCTGAGTTGCAGCAGCAGCAGTTGTTCTTATATATTATTATTTTACTAGGTCAGGGGCAGTTTAAAACTTAGCCTTGGACCGTGGCCAAAATGTTATAAAGGAAAAAAACAAGTGGTGTTGACGGAATTATTCTACTTGATAACTAAAAAGCATAGAATGCAAAAGTAGGGAGGCCCTGCCCTCCTAGCCAAAATTGCACATACCTTCCCTGCCGCAGCTCGTGAAGCTGTTAACTGCATGCACTTCCCTATTGCAGGCCTTTCTGGTGATTTTACCTCCTGTGAGGAAGAAGAGAAGAACTGTGGCTCCTCTTAATTATATAGGAGGCAGGTGGCATTGTTGTACATGTATGGCTCAGTTAACCCCACTTGTGGCCTAATAAATATGAAATTCTTATTCAGATCATCTACCTTGACTTCCTCGAATAGGAATAAAGGAGTAGAGAGAAGGGCTCAAAGTGTTCATGACAAAACTCCCTGTCTTCTGGGCTTCTTCCCTGTGGGTTTCTTCTAGAGCAGCACTCTCCAGTAATGCAAAAGCATATGCAATTCTGTTTCCTGATGACCACATTTAAAACGAAAAAAATCATTTAAATAATTAATATAACCCAGTATATCCAAAATATCATTTCTATATGTAATCTGTAGCAATTAAGATATTTTTACATTTTATTTTTTTATACTAAGTCTTAGAAATCAATTGTGTATCTTATATTTACAGCACATCTTGATTTGGATGAGCCACATTTTAAGTGCTCAATAATATGTTGGCTGGCTGTCGTACTGGACAGCACAGGTCTAGAGGTTCGTGATGAGCAAAGGACAGTTCTCCTGGTTTCCCCTGCATGTTAACCTCTCTAGCATCTCTCCAGTCTACCCACTTTTCACCTCCACTGCTCTAATTCAGAACCTGATCATTTCCCACCCAGATGCTTCAAACCACTTCCTATCTAGTATCCCTCATCTCGCAAACGTATTGTACACACTGCTGCCACTTAACTGCCTCATTTCATTCTTCTGCACCTTCACTGGATCACATTTCCTACAAAAGCCCAAACTCTAATTTGTCCCTTTTAGAAGCCTGTGATAATTTACATGCCAGCCATAATCGTATCTCTGGTACATGGTACATGTATTCCAGCATAGAATACTCTCTAGCCCTACCCCTATCTTTTAAGGCTCAGGAGACAGTTACTACCATTATGAAGCCTTTCCCATAACACTCTGCTTAGGTTTCATTTTTGCCACTTAAAATTGTATGTTTTAGATTTTGGGGTTTGGGGGTCCATGCCTCTTTCCACTCTAGATATTAGGCACTTTCCCATCATCCTCCATAGCCTCAGACATAATGGACATTCCATAATGTTTGCTGAAATTGAAATAGACAAGAGTGAGCCATTTTCAAATTATGTGTTATATAACCAGGTGCTGTTATATTTTGTGTTTTGTTTTTTTTTCCTAGCTCACATTAGTAAAGCAGCGAGAACAGCCAGAAATGGTTTTCCGACAGTTCCTGGTAGAAGACAAAGGACTTTATGGAGGCTCTTCTTATGTGGATTTCCTTTGCTGTGTTCACAAGGAGATCTGTCAGCTGCTTAATTAATTGAAACTTCTCTGTCATTGATGTTGCATTTCTAAGGAGATAATCTCCTTCTTGGTGCCTAATTTTCTAGATATTAATAGGCTAGTTTTGATTTCTTGCTCATTTTCAAAATAGCTTTCCAGGAAAAGATGGCATTTAGAACTTCAGCTTTGGTGCTCAGGTATAAAGCCAATTAAGGTACAGTTGTACCATAAAGGGAACAGTCTGTTTCTGATTGCACAGTTTCTAATGTTTAAAACTGATGTGGTTTGCATTTCATGAAAGGCAAAGTTTACAGAACCATAAACATTCTCAATTTTCTTTCTTTGTGCCAGACATATAAATTATTTTTCAAACTGTATAAACGGGGGGTAAAAAGTTGTCTTGGTTCCTCTCCCAATCGCAATGAGAAAAAAAAAAAGCTTAATTTTTACATTATACCTAATTTTTTAAAGACCATGTAGCTCCATTGAACACATTTTTCAATTTAAGGATTGCATAGCAGACTTTCAATAACCTTGGAATCTATTTGGTAGAACAATTTGTGTTCTACATTTTTTTCATAATTATATATTGTGTATGTTAAAACTATTTTCCAGTTGTTTTGTCTATAAAACTGTCTTTATCCATATTCTTAATGGTTCTTTGTACAATTTGAAAGTTTCTACCTGTATATAATGGATCTTAACCAATATCAATAAATCATTTCATATACTCTTATTTGGTACATAGAATTATTACTATTTTTAGGTCTTAAGAAAAAATAAGGGTAGTATTCAAAATGTCTTGGCAAAAGGTTGTTGGGTAGGTCACTAAGAACAAATTTGGAAAATAAAAATTTCTCTTTTTTTGAGGGTTGAGGAGTACTAGGCAATAAATCTAGGAAACATCATAGTGTACTCGAAAAAGGCATTTCAAAGTTCTCTAACATGTTTTTGTGGGCAAAATAAATAGAAACAGGCTAAATGAAACCATTTGTTAATGAATATATCTAAACCTAGGAAAATGGGTGTGAGTGATGTCACACAGGCATCTGCCCCTACCTCCCTGTTCAACTTTGTTATCAATTATATGAATAATAATAGGAGTACATATCATATCCCAAGAACTGCATGTTTTTTGTGAACACATGCACATGTATTCTTCACAGCAACCCTGATCCTGTTATCAGCCCCATTTACACATGAAGAAACAGGCTTAAGTGCCTTGTTTCTGATTGTATGGCTAGTAAGGTTTATTTACAAATTACATGTTATAAAGTAGAAAAGAAAAACAAATACAGTGGCAGGACTAAAATCCCCCCATGTTAGCCAACTGGCATGTTGCTTACGATCAACTTGGATAAGTTTAGCAAGAAGAAATGTAAGCTCCTAGACTTGTGTCCAAAAAACAAATGCATATGCAGGAGATCATTCATGGAAACAACACGTTAGAAAAACAACTTAGGAAGTTTGCCATTATGAATCAGTAGTGAAATGGAAGCAGACATGATCTAAATCTACTTTATTACAAGGATAGGCTGTCAAATGAGCATAGTGATGGTCCCTCTCTGAGGTCAGACCACAGCTAGGTGAGTGTTCAATTCTAGGCACCATGCCCTATGTGGAATAGAAGCACAGAGCACATTCCTTTATTCATTTGAAGACTGCCTAATGATTTGTTCTCTGTGTTCTTTAGGGTATAGAACCAGAACCATTAAATAGAAGAGACAAAGGGCCACTTAACAGAAAAAACTTGTAAATAGGTGCTCAAAGAATATGCCATTGAAAGTAGCATGTTCTCATTTAACAAACACTGATTGCACATGTTGTGTGTGCCAAACACTAGGTGCTATGCTGGGGAGAGAACCGTGAGCAGCGCAAGCAAAGTCCCTGCCATCTCTACAATTACGGGAAAGTTTCAGAAATGCCATGAAATGCTACAGTAAGCACAGAGCAAGGATATGGTCTAGCTGGGGAGCAAGGTGTAATCAGTAAAGATTTTCCAGAGGAAGTTACAATGAAGATGAGACCCGAAAAAATTGTAAACATGTGCCAGGTAATTTGCAGTATTGTTAAATATGCCAGCAGAGGAGAAAATAAGCATAAAGGCCCAGAGTGGAGAAAGCATACATCACCCTTTTGTGACCAAATTGTGGATGATCGGCTCAGGTTGCTCCCCAATAGGATGTTGGTCCTTGGTCCCTCTCTCACCCAACAATGGGGGAAGAGGACCCTGATGGGACGATAAGCTTGTTTTAAGTGAATATCGGACCCCAAAGAGTTTTGAAGAAAATGATTTATTTAGGCAGAGCAAGAGAAAAAGGGGAAAGAAAAGCAGCTCCCACGATGTCTTGGAAGGGGATCCAGAAATGGAGTCCGCACTGATGTGGGAGAAGGGGACTTTTAACATGGGAGATATTCCTGCCCCATTCAAGTTTTCTGTCCTATGAAAGGAGTTCCTTTAAACTTCCACTGTAGTGATTGATCTTTGATTCTGACCTTTGATTTGTTATTTTGGCCCAGAGTCCTCCCATAGCTTCTTGTGGGCTTTTCTAGACAAAGGGAGCTTACCTGACCAGTCTATCTTCCCGTGCACGCGAAAGTTAAACAAAGACCGCTAAGTTCCCGGATGCAGTGGATGGAAGTATGGCACTGGGACGTTCTTGCCTTTGAAACCATGCCCCCTTGTGGACCCGGGAAGAGAATACAATCCTTCACTTTCAGTAAACTGAAGAAGTTAAACTTGGCTGAAACTACCAAGAAGAGACAAAGTAGTAAAAGATAAAGTTGGAGAAGCAAGTAGAGTGAGACTTAGCCAAGGAGGAGTTTGGACTTAATCCTAATGACAAAGTGAAGGCGTTCAAAGTAATTTAAGCAGGATCGCAGGATCACTCTAGAAACGTCACTTTGGGGTTGTAAGGTGATGTAATTTGCAGCAGAGAGACCATTTAGGAGGCTATCAGAATAGTCCATTTGAGTTCACAGTGGCCTGAATTAAAATAATGGTATTTAGTTGAGGGTGGGGAATTTGGGGGAGAGCTGATGTAAGGGAGGAGAAAATGTCAGAAAATGATTTGTTTTGAGCAACTGGGTAGACAGTGAGATGATTCTCTGAGAATAAAAACAGCTTGTGTATGTCAGTGTGTATGTAAAAGGTATAGTCAGATTGTACATATTTCAGGTAGCTTGCAAGATATCCAAGTGAGATAAGCTATAGCACCTAAAAATATGGGTGTGAATCTCAGGAGAGAGCTGTGAGCTAAAGATTTGCAAGGCACCTACATGAATATCAAGGTAAAGAAGCCACACAAGTGGCTGAAAAAAACTTTGGCTCTGTAGAGTGGGAAGGCAGCAAATCCCTAGGGCAGACAGTCACTAGAAACCTTAAAGGAGACTGGGAAGGGCCAGAGAGGTAGGAAAGGAACTTGGCTAGAAGATGTCACAAAGCTCAAGGTAAAAGAGGGGGTGCTTGAAGAGAGTGGGCAGCCAAGTCACAGGCTTCCAAAAGAAAAGATGAAAATGTTTGTTGGGACTAGTAAAAAGGTCATGGGTGACTTTGGTGAAAAGTTTCTCTAAATCAGTCAGGATAAAGGCTAGATTGGAACAGGCTGAAGAAGGGGAAGCAGCATGGAGGCAACTCAAGAGGGGATGAGAGGGTGAATCACAGGTAGAAGGGAGGATTTTTTAAATTTTAAGGGATTTGCCATTTAAATGCTGGTGGAAAGAAGCCAGTATTATGTTAAAAAAATATATATAGTCACAATACTATACTACAAAGAATGTTGAAGATTCAAGACAGAGAAAAATTATTCAAAAGAGCAAGACCCTTGGAAAACAGAGGGAATATAATATAAATGGTGAGGTAAGCTTTCATGATAGAAGAAACCCAATATGTAATGGAAATGCTCTGGTGAGCCCTGAATGACCACCTGCCAAAAAAATGGTGTAAGTGCTGCCCTGAAGTGGTGCTCCAAACTGGAAGAGGCAGTGAAGCACAATGGCTCAGAGCACAGGCTCTGGAGCCAATACCATGGGTTTGTATACTAGTCCCACCACTAGCTGTGTGGTCCAGGGCAAGTTAGAAACTTTTCTGTGACCGTTTCCTCCAGTTTTTTCAAGAATTAAAGTTTATAAAGGGCCTAGAACGGCATCTGACACATGGTGCTGCTATATAAAGTGTTCATTGCTGTTATTGTTTCATTAGCAAGAATTAAAGTTTATAAAGGGCCTAGAACAGCATCTGACACATGGTGCTGCTATTTAAGTGTTCATTGCTGTTATTGTTTCATTAGGTTTTTTACTAAACTTGCTAAGGATGATGAAAACTAGGACTAATCTGACTCCTAATTGGATTTGCTGCTATGCCGCTAGTATCGGAACTGACATCCTCCAAATCAAGCTAGCTTTAAATGCTCTAGAAATTCCAATTAGCAGATGGTTTCAGAGATTAGAATAAATTTGCCATGAGAAACTTGCAGCTTAAACTACTTTAAATGTTAAAAGCCAATAATATATAAACCAAAGATAAGAACTTGTATTTCAAATGTTAAGAAACCATTATTAAAAAAAGAAAAATGAGTTCACTCACTTTTTGAAGGCATTTCTTTGAGACTACCAAATGGCAACTTTCCTAGAAGGTTCACTTCTAAAAGTTTAACATAATGGTAGTAGACTGAGAATAATTATTAATCATCTATTAATAAGTTTTAAAATGTCTACCCATATAGAAACATATTTCTCTACTCAGAAAGCAATGAAAAGCCAAGAACAAATTTTAGATCGATTTTTTGAACATGGAAAGATAATCTGAAGTTGAACTTGAGCTCCACTAGGGGGCATTCTACATTAATCTGTCTAAACCTTCAGAAAGGTTAGTAATCTTCCAGAAAAGGCAATTCTTT